AAATAATTAACTACTATATTATTGATTATTTTATTAATAAAATTAAAAACTTAATAGTAATAAATTAATTTTTAATTAATAATTAAGTAATCGCTATCTATTTATTAATTTTTAATATATAATATCATTAGTAATTAATAATTAATTATCTAATATAAGTTTTTGATAAGTACTAGAAAATGAAAACAAAAAAAGAAAAACAACTTTTAATCGTTTTCTACTTTCTTCATAAAAATCATTCTCATTGATTTTTATTTTCGTTTTCAAAACTTTTATTAAACAAATGTGATTTGTACACCGTTTTCATTTTCGTGTCTTAAAAAATGTGCAGAAACGTTTTCAAATACAATTCCAAACGCACTCTAAATGTTTTTATCCCTATGGCCCAAGTATATTCTCAACTGAAAAACGTGGAATGCCCACTAATTGTCCCTTCATTTATTTGTTCTTTTCATTTCTTGGGTGACGCATTCACAAATTTCTGTAATGTGTCTAGAAACTAAGTCCAATATTTTATTCAACCTTCTTCTTGTAAAGAAGAGAAGAAGAAAAAAAAAAAAAAGGAAAAAAGCCTACTCAAGATGCTTTGCAGAATATGATGCACAAGGGGCCAACCCCTTATTCAGCAACATATTGATTAAAATTAAGACTGAAGAGACATTAATTGCATCATATTGGATGTTTTGCAAAGAGGGTCTAGGTCTAGCCACAAAACCTAGACATGTTCTAGACATGTCTCATTAAGGAAAAAACATATGATGATTTGACAAAATGAAGAAGAGAAATTTAACAATCCTTTTAACTTGGATGTCTTTTAGGATTAAAGAGTCATTTTATCCTTTATTCGTTGACTTTATTGACATGGGTTTTCATTGTGTTTTATACCTTCTTCACATAGAGTTGATGGAAATTGTTTCAGCCTCTTAGATAGCCCTTAAATGATGAAAGCATATTAGTAATGCGCTTATGTCTTACTTTTCATTATTCAGAATGATTTGGAGATTGAATTTAATGTCATCGACGAAAGACAATCGTGAATACGCAAATGGGATTAGATGAAGTGCCTGTTAGAGAGACGTTTGGTAAGAAGATTCATAGCATGATTTGAATTATAGTTCATGATTCGTTACAGTGTTTTCTCTCACAAAAAATACACGTAAATTAAAAATAGTTCTAATATCATAATTTTAATACATGAACCAAACGTCTCCCGTCGGTTTCCTGTTTTTCTTTTTGTTGGAAATGATGTAAGCTTTTCAAGTTGCTAATATAAGTAAATATTTATAGGAGAATTCTCTGTAGGTAAAAAAAAAAAAAAACTTTATTGTTAGATATAATTCTCAAGCGTCATATCTTAATTACGTCTTATTAAATTGTCATATTCTTCTTAATCTAATATGATTATGATATAATATCCATATGATTCATTAGCTTTATTAGCTTAAAAGGTGAAAAGATATAATTCTTTATGAAAACTTTTTCTCATTTTTTTAGTCATTGATACGAGCCATACGTCACTTGACTAATCCCTTCATAAGTCAAGACCAAGCGTGTATATCTCTGTCAAACTACTAATTAAAACGAAAATGATGGAGGAGTTGATGTAATAATTCCTCCTAAAAAGTTGTAATTAATGGGAAATACGCTATTAAATCCTTTATCTACCACTCAAGATCAGATTTGAGAATCTTCTTGAATTACTATTCATGACACTTTAAGGAGCTCCTTACGAATTTGTAAATGCACCCGATAGACGGGCTTGGTCACTTTTTCAAGGCTCAAACAGCGTAAATCCACCTTAAGTTCAAGAGCATGTTTGGTTCATAAATTAAAACTATGTGATTAGAATTATTTTCGATTTACGTGTATTTTTTATGAGAGAAAATACTGTAATGAATCGCGAATCACGAATCATGATTCGAATCAGAGAACGAATCTCTTTACCAAACGGGCTCCAAGTATGTTGTTGCATCATTTTCCTCACTTAAAAGAGAATGACATCTCAAGACGCATTAATAGAATTTAAATTTAAGATCTCGTGCTCTCTGACATACCATCTAATATATGAGTTGACTGTTGACGCAACCATTCCTCCTATAAAAACAAGATAAAATGTTAGTAAAAACACGACATTAACAAAAATGAACTCAACATGCAACATTCTTCCATTGGTTGCGACTGGCATTTATAAAGTTGGGAGTCTACAATTAAGTGTGTATTATTCTGATAAGAGAGAAGTCGAAACTTTTTTGAAAACCAAGTGTATAAGAGCAACTCATCTTTTATTAATTTTTTTTTATTTTTTGTTTCGGTTAGTAAATTTTACTTTTGGCATTTTATCAATTGATTCATTAAGTGATTTCAGATACTTTAATGTTAATAAATTCGACTTTGCTGATCTTAATTTAAGAATTTTCATATGCTTTCCATTTTGAAAACGTTTAGAAGAAAGAGATGAGGAGAGGGGAAGACGATAGAGCTGCGCTTGACATTAGACCTTCATTCTTGCTTCTATGAATCACACTATCTTAGAGTCATATAAGAGCAATGCTATTTGGCACTGACAATGTTCACCATCAATTTATAAAATGTAGGTCTAATAAGGAGAGATTCACAGGCGTGTCGACATTCTATCAGTAGTGGGCTTAACACCGGTGGTGTCCTTTTAAGTATTTTTCGTTATATAATAGTCTACCATTCCTTTGCTGGTGGGGAATAAAAACAGAAATAATGCTTTCGACAACAACTCTAATGAAAAAGTTTAAAACCGGAGAAGCTTACGAACTCAATATTAAATTAACACAAAACATAATTTGATTGAAGTCAGATCGCTGAAATATACTCTTCTGCTGAAAAATAAGTGGAAGATACCTCAACCCCTGAATGTCAAAACCAATGGAAGAATTCATTAGAGGGATCCAAAAAAAAAAAAAAAAAAGTGCATGATATCCTAAACATGCATGTAAGTCTAAATATTTCTAATTAGGACACTATTGGGAAGGCTAACGGGTTGTTTGGTTGGGGGATTCGTACTCCGATTCGAATCATGGTTTATGGTTCGCTACAGTGTTTTCTCTCACAAAAAATACACGTAAATAAAAAATGATTCTAATATTATAATTTTAATCCATGAACCAAACGTCTCCCTGTTTGACACAATAAGACAGCAAAACAATGTACAAGTTACAAATAGTATGGAAATTGCTGATCATTTATTTTGTGCATATCATGGTATTTGGTTTATAATCTTGATAATGAGTATGTTAAGTAACTAAATACACCATCACGTAATTTATTTGTTTTTAGGTACGAACATGTTTAAGGATTTATTTTGAATGATGCTTTTGTAAGGATAGTGCCCTAAAAGCGTATATAGTTTGTTAAATAAACAATGGAATTTACTAATGACATTTTGAGGTTCATTTATTACATATGTGTTTGTGCGTTGTTTATGTTGCATTGAGTAAATACCATAAGGTTAACCAGCCAAAAAAAAAAAAAAATACAAAGGTACGAAGACTTAATTTTGCATAAAGAATCATTTATTTGAAGTTGTTAAAATATGAGAGACATGATTCTTTACTTTAAGTCTAAAGTATAGTGCACATTCACAATCTATAAACAAAGTTGATGAGTTTGAGACTTTTAATTTTTACTATTTTTACCATATTACTTTATGTTAGACTTTTGGTAAAATAAAAAGAGTGTAGTCCCACATTGATTTGGAAGTAAAAATGAGGTCTTTACACTCTTATTTTCTTGATAATAATTGTTGATTTTAGTGTCCAAACACTTTATGATAAGCCAGTTACATATAATGTCTTTACAGTTTAATTCCTCCTCTTTTCTTACTAAATTAGACTAAATTGTTGATGATGCAATTCCCTCCTATTTAGACTAAATTGTTGATGATGTAATTCCCTCCTATTTTCTTACTAAATTAGCGATGATGCAATTCCCTCTTATTTTCTTACTAAATTAGTGATGATGCATGGGCATGCAGCAAGTAAATCTATATTTTTTATTTAAATTTAAGGGCATGTCCACCCTACCAGCCCTATCTTTTTCTTTATTGGTAGGGTGTGAAATCTAGACCGTCGGATGAAAGATCGACGGTTTAAAATGGTGATGTCTATAAAAATTAAAATAAATACAACTACACTTGATCACCTGCTTCTTTTCAAATTTAATAATTCTAATATCACCCCTATTTTATAAAATACCAATTTTTATCTAAGCAAATTTTAACGATCAATCTCATTAACTTTTGATCTTAAATCTTGATCACTTGTAGAACCGTAAAAGTTTCAGAAGTCCCTAGAAGCCTCCATGAGTAGCTTCCCACTGGAGCTTCACTGAGCCCACCCTACCCCCTATCTTTCTCTCCCCATCGTGACCCAAGCCCCCTCTCTCTCTCCTCTCTTCGGCAATCCCAACCCCAGCGACATAGCTACCGGTAAAATCGACTTAAACTGCGCAATCTCCTCTCTTGTAAAGATGGCAATATGGGTTGCAACACATGATACGAACACGAATACGAAGACATAATTGACTCGAAATTGACTTGAATTGACTCGATCTCAAAATTGACTTGAATCCCAACCCCACCTTACCCCCTATATTTTCTCTCCCCATCGTGACCCAAGCCCCCTCTCTCTCTCTCCTCTCTTCGGCAATCCCAACCCCAGCAACATAACTACCGGTAAAATCGACCCAAACCGCGCGATCTCCTCTCTTGTAAGATGGCAATATGAGTCGGTTGACTTGATCTCAAAATTGACTTGAATTGACTCGATTTATTAATTTTTTTATTCAAAATATATAAAAAATAATGACATAGTTTTTAACAAAAATATTTTAACTTAAATAACATGAGAAAAATTATATTTTTGTGACTTGTATTAACAATTTAAAATATAGATAAATAGACTAAGTAAATAAATTAACACTTAAATTATTTATGTTAACCGTAATAATATATATTTGAGTGATATTTTTATTAAACGGGTGATACGTGAGTTGACACAAACATGACTCAAATTGCCGTCCCTACAGTCCCTCGCTACCGTCCGCAGACATCAAAGCTTGCCCCGCCGCCCTTGCCATCCTCCCGCTCGTCGAGCCTTCGCGATCCAGCCGATGGATCTCGCGACACCCACCTGCGAACGCCAAGACCCAACATCATAGTTCTCACATCCGTCGGTCTCTCGACACCCCTCGCCTTTCACGGCAGTCAGAACGGTGGGTTGGCAACCCATGCAAGGGGCATGAAAGAACGCCGAGACCCGCGTCGAAATATTCGGTGAGCCTCCACCAGAATCTGTTGTGTTTTGAAAGTAATTTGTGTTGGATTCTTTGGATTGTTGTAATTTGTAATGTTCCTTGGACTATCGTAATCTGAGATTATTGTACTTTGTTGGATTTGTCTTGAATAACATCAGATCTGCAACAGGGAACTTTTGTGAAATGTTTGGATTTTTTTTTTTTTGCAATTTTTTTGATCTTTTCATATTCCGGAATATGGATTTTACGTCGCAACAGGATTTGCCTCGCCGGAATCTGGGTTTTACGTCGCCGGGATCTGGGTTTTGCCTTGCAGCCTCGCCGGAATCTGGTGTTATATAGAAACTATTTTTTTTTTTGAACCAATAGAAACTATTGTTTTGACTTTTTATATTGTGAAGTTAATTTGTATTTGAAAATTAATTTGTGAAATTTTCAGAAAATCAGATTTTCTGTGGCTTGTTTATTAAAATTGATTAGTTTGATTTAGTTTGATCAAATATTAGAGATGGTGCTTGGTTTTGAATAAAATTATGTTGTTTTGGAAATTGATTATTCAAAGGTCATATATGTATTAATGTGTTATTGGTTTTTTTTTTTTTTTTTTTTCAAAAGTAATATGTGTAATTAATTTACTTTTAGTTGTAATTAGACTTTTCTAATTAATGAAATAGTTTTAATTTTGTGATTATAATTAGGGAGAAAGAGGGAAATAGGCCAAGACTTGAGTGGAATTAAAATTAATAGGTCAATAGTTTACATAAGTTAATAAATAGGCCAAATTACTGTTTTCGTCCATAACTTGTCTGGTTATGAACCATAACTTGACAAGTTATTGTCCATAAATCACGGTTTTTGTCCATAACTTATCTAGCTATGAACCATAACTTGATAAGTTTGTCCATAACTTATCTGGTTATAAATCATAACTTGACAAGTTATAGCCTATTAATTTCTATAACTAAAAGTTGACCTATATACTTCCTTGAGCTTTTCATATTGACATATTTTCTACTATTCCGTTTATTTTACGAGAAATGTATAAAATAAAGGGTATTTTCGTTATTATATAAAATATGGGGTAAAAAGTAATATTTTGATAAAAGTAAGGGTTGTTTTTGTAATTATCTTCATTATTTTTGGGTTACAATCAAATGCGGAAGGCAACGCATAGACCCTCGCTAAGATTTAATACGGGTCGATAGATTAGACCCTACCGGTAAGATGAATTAGTTCACACTACTATAGACACGCCCCAAATTCAAATTGACAAAATGGGAATTTTTAATTTTGACAAAATGCATCTTAACTTTAAAATCAGTTGTAATAAAATTTAATAACTGATGACATTATCAAATTGACAATTCGAAACACATAATTCGCACATGACATGGTTTAAAAAGTGACGATCGTTGTCGTTCTTGTGTGAATCTCGTGTTTTGAACCATCAATTATCACGTTATTAGCTATTGGACTTTAATTGCTCTTTATTTTAAAGTTCAAACCGCATTTCGCCAAAATTGAAAATTCAGGGAACTTGCACAAAAAAAAAAAAAAAAAGAGTGTAACAATACAATTTACTCTAAGTAAAACTGGACATTTTATTTTAATAAAATTGTTTTGTTGTTTACTTTTAAATTGGTGGATCTATCTTATATGGAATAGGGACAATGGTCTTTTTGGAATACATCAAACTAGAGCCACGATATAATTATAATTATTATGTAATTCGTAATAATAATTGAATTCTATATATATATTTTTTACTATTTAATAGATATTCCCTTAACTCTAAGTTATTAAGGGCCCGTTTAGTTCGTTGATTCGAGTTGAGATGTAACTTTATGTGAGAGTTTTTTATTGTAGTAAAAAAATTAAATGTGACTATTTCTGATAGCTTTTTACTATAGCAAAACTCGAATCGGTGAAATGAACGAAGCCTAGAGGACTCACACTCTAACTCACATTCATTTATTATGTCTTTTGATTTGTAAATAAGTGACACAAAATTTTAATTGATCAATAACTTGCATATTAGCTTTTCCATCTTTGAGGGTCCAAATAGAATTTAGATTTTTTTGTGTCTTCAATTTTGGATTACGCTTAAATAACAAAAAGACAAGGTTAATCGATCGTGAACTTTTGATGAGTTTGACAAATAATGTGAACAGTTACAAAGCCACCAATTGTCAAAATACTTTAAATACAATATGGAGCTGACTGGAGTAATTTCCACTCAATTTCTTTACTTGAATTGAAAGTCAATTGTGGGCAACACAAAAGCACAATATAAAGTGGTGGCGAAAACCTAATAGTGACATGAATATAATATCTCTCGGCAAGGCCAAGAAATGAGGAAATCTCCCTACGAAATATATGGTGTTGAAAATGGTATAGTGGTCACTACACTTGGACCTCAGATATCTAACAGCGTGTGGAATTGTCTCACCTGAAAAAGTTAAGGCCGAAGAAGAATGTCATTGATTTTAATAATTAATGAGGACAGAATTCTGTCAAAGCATAGCCACTATTTTTTTAGGGCTTTTGCATTGTTGTCCCCTCAAATTTTTTGAATTTTGACAATTTACCTCATGAATTTTCTAAGTTAGTGCAACGTAACCCCGTTTTGCTTAGCTTCCTATTAAATTGGTAACGAAAAGCCGACATACGCCTCATGTGAGGATAGAAACAACGTGCCTCCCGTTTTGCTTTGCTTCCTGTTAAAATGGTAACGAATAGCCGACATGTGCCTCATATGAGGATAGAAAATTCAATACGTATAAAAAATTTTCAAATTTAGTTCAAAACCTAATGCAAATATTTTAAATTCAATTTCTAATTGGAAGTCAACAAAATGATGAACATTGCAACAATCTTGAAAATTCTTAGGACACATTACTAAAATTAAAAGTTTAGGAGTGCATCGTAAAAAGTTGAAAAGTCCGGGGACCAACGACGCTAAAAACTCTTTTTATTTATTTATTTAAGAAGTAAGTAAGAAAAAGGGGGTGGGGGCCGGGGAAGAAAAAAGAAAGGGAGGACAGAAAAGTGGCCTCAAATATAAAAGTCTAAATATTCCATATACAAATTGGTAGGAGTTTAAACACACAAACTTTGCTAATGGTCAGCGCCCGCGGCCATGAACAATCCCATTTCAAACTAAAGTTCGCCAAATAAATAACCCAAACATGGACTTAATAATGAGTTTGGGAAAATTTTCTTCAATAGAGATATAGATGATGATAAAGATTGAGGGCTTTCTTAGACCACAACCCAAGGGCTATTTCTTTCCTTCTTTTCATTTTGGGTTTATGATGTCTACGTCTCTCAAGAAAGTACGGCTTCGTTTATTTCACTGATTCGAGTTTTCAGTTTTAGATTTCTACAGTAAAAAGCTCTCAGAAAATGTCACATCTCAACTCGAATTGAAAACTCAAATCTGCAAAATGAACGAGGCTCTTTGTTCATTTGCATTTTTTAAGTTAAGGTGATTTGAATTTAGATCTTAATTTAAATTAAGGTGTATTTGATTATAGTTTGATTTGAGACTCTAAGTTGAGTATGTGTTTGGATGGGCACATTTTGAATTATGGTTTGAATTGAGAATCTATTTGAGTTTGTGTTTAGGTGGGTCAAAACTTAAATTTGTATTTAGATAGTATTTTAATAAAAACTCAATGGTGATAGAAATTTTAATAGGATATATGAGTAGAATTTTATTCATCTTTTCGTTGTGAACGCATAAAAAAATCATCTCAATCGGAATTAAAACAAAAAAGTTGTGACGTTTTTAATAATAGAAAAAATATTATTCATTAACTTGAGTTTGAGTTTAGAAACTTGAGTTGAAGGGGGAACTTGAACTTAGCTTTTTGTCCCAAACTCAAGTTAAAACTCAAATTTTACAAAAGAACATGAACTTAAATAAAATTATAACTTGAGTTCAAACTTTTTTTAAATTAAACTCCAAACGAACAACCCCTTAAAAATTTCAAAAATACATCTCCTGTAAAAGGGTCCCACTTATGTAGTTATTAGTATGGGAAAATGATTCACATATCATAATTCATCATAAAAAGTAGAATATAAAACTTGTCAAGGACAAAAATTGAATCACATATATCTAGAAAAAAAATGGTCCACAAATTATTTCATAAGTACAAAGATCGATCGCCTTAATTAATGTTATAGAACTAATTAATTTTGACATACGTGAATTGATTCATAATGTTTCATGATAAATTTTTCATAATTTGTATGATTAATAATTGAAATCTTATTATATAATCTAAGCCTACTTTGACAAATTAATTAGTGGCCACAGGCTCTTTTTTTTTTTTTTCAAGAGTCATTTTCGTAGAAATTTGACACATACTTTTATTTTTTATTTTTTTGAAAAGACACCTACTTTTATTTTTAATAAGTCCTAGTATATACAAAAAAATATGGCAAAACTAACCACTCACCGGGTAAAATTGTTTATATACTGCCTTCACAAGAAAGAAGGAAAAAAGAGGCACCCGTATAACAGGATCAGATACTGCTCATGAAAAAAGTTCATATATATATATATATATTATGTATACATATATAGATATATACACGCGCGCGCGCGCACACACACACATATATATATATATATATACACGTATTGTGTGCTCACCTAACAACTTCTTCAAAGGATCTTTTGACCATATATCGGAAAAATATTATTCCCATTTGGGGGGGTTTTGATTATGAAACGATTGTTTGGTGCTTTGAATGAGACTCTTAATTGGTTCAAAATTTGTGTACTTTTTTCATATGAGCTAGGTTGCGTCCAAGTTCAACCTACTTCAGATTTTTTTTTTTTTTTGGTATATATATGTGTTGACTTGATGTATACATGCACTGGGAAACCACAGCAAAAGTCGGCAAATTAATGAATATATATATATGAGTGTGTGTGTGTGTGTGTCACCCCACCATTACATTACCATGATGACACAATTAGAAGAAAAGGGAGTCAAAATAGCTTAAAAATGAAATTACACCATAATAGCTAGTACATGTATATATTCCGCTTATTAGAATAGTTTGATGCTATAGACCACCAAGTGATTGTGATTAATAAGAAATGGTGTTGTTAATTGGTGTGTGAAAGATATGACTCTTATTCATCAATGTTTTATAAATACAAAGATCGATCACCTTAATTTTTCTAGAAGGTTCATTGAAAATGATAATCCAATGATGGTGATCTCAATATTCTCTTATTCAAAAATTTGAACAGCATTTTCTGTATAGCTAGACAATATATTCTAATAAACTTATAGGAACTCGTTGAGAAATGTTAGCGTCACTATTTCTGTCACCGTCTTT